AGAGAGAGAGAGAGAGAGAGAGAGAGAGAGAGAGAGAGAGAGAGAGAGAGAGAGAGAGAGATCTTCTTCTTCCTCTTCGTCTTCTAGTCCACCACCTTCTTCTTCCCCTCCCAGCGCTCCGACTTCTTAGGCTAGGAGAAAAAGGAGGAGAAGAAGAAGAAGAAGAAGAAGAAGAAGAAGAAGAAGAAGAAGAACGTGGTTTAACCCTGAGAGCACATTGGCGAAGAAGAAGAGGAAGAAGACGACGACGAAGAAGAAGGTGGTTTAATCATGAGAGCACATCGGCAGTTTCCAGCCCACTGGCCTGGGGCTTCTGCAGAGGTGGTTGATCAGTACTTCCTGGTCTCATATCCATTCATGCGCGCACGGAAAAACCGGCACCCTTAGCCACAAGAGCTACCTCTCTTAACCACTACAGCCATAACACGGAGTTTAAAAGTGGAACCATACCGGTTTTGATATCCACCCCACCCCTGCATGGCTGTATTGTCCTTATTCACTCACAGAGACATACACCACCACAAAGGCAAGCCCAAACGCAGGCAATTCTTGCACAGTTTGCCGCCATTCAAAACATGACCTGCTGCTGCTCCCATGGCCTAGCCACCATATGCGGTCTCAATCCTTCACCGGTAACCAGAAGCTTACACAGTGGTTGATCGGTACTTTCTGACCTCAGATCCAACCGTGCACACACGGAATGGACCGGCACCCTTAGGCACAGCCTTCACAGTGTACAAATATGGAATCTTACTACTTGTGACATACACCCACCCCTGCATGGCTGTAGTGTCCTTACTCTCACACACACACACAGCACCACCCAGGCAAGCCTACATAAAGGCAATTCTGGCACAATTCACTCCCATCTAGCACACGACCCGCCGCTGCTCCCAGCACCTGTCAGACGTTCAACCCTGCCCCTTGATATGTGCAGTGATATGTGCAGTCATGCTCATATGATAAACAAGGACAGCAAGGAATGAACACTTTGATACCAAGTTCACTTTGGAGCTTCTCAATGAACACTTTGATACCTAGTTTACTTTGGAGCTTCTCTTGCTTGCCCAAAACAAGGAATGAGCTCTTTGATGATGCTTAGTTACTTTGGACGTTCTCTTGCTTACCCTGTAGCTGTAGGACCGCGTTCCAGCGCCTTCTGAATCCGATCGAATCTCTAGGAAATCAATATCTTGCCCTCTGTATGTCTGCTGCCAGAGCTCCTTGATAATTTTGTTGATCTCCTCCATCTTCATCGTGTGAAACCTCATCAAGGCTCTGAGATTATGAAGCCAGCCATGACAAGCAATGATTGCAAAATGTTACTCGCTGACCTCAACCTCTGTTGCTTCTCAAAAAAAGATGCTTCCTGAAAAACTCGTCTTTTTATCTTTTGCCCACCGTTTGTGGCAAACCCACAACTATTTCTTAGCACCATATGCGCAATAGTGGATCCAACACAGACTTCTATGAAGGTTGGACGGCAAGCAGATCTGAGACACAAAAAGAAGTGGCCGCAATGGTGCTATGGGTTTGCACAGAGGAACTACTTCAGCTTCCTGGGGACTGTATGTTTGCCTCCATGATTGACAGTACCTTTTTTTTTATAATTATTAAACAGGTCCTTTCGGCCCTGGCTCCATTTCCATTCTGGGGAGCATCAGTCCGGTTCCTTTTCCACCGGCAAGTCAGGAAAAATAATTACATCATAGAACACCCTCACGCTTCCTTCCGTCTGGCCGAAGGAACCCTGATCAGCATTGATTACCCCAACGTCGTGGAGGATTGACTGTCAGCTTGCCTTGCTTCCATCTTTCCTCTCAGGACTACTAAAGGAGCCTGTCAGATACAACATCAATAGCAAGAAATGACTAAGAAGCTGTTAGGCTGGATGAAGAAGCAAATAAGAAAGAAAGGCCAATTAAGATCAAAGAAAGTAGTAAACTAATGACCAAAGTACCTTAATTGAAGCGAATTCAGCACTTGGGGTGCTCACTAGTATACCACAGCCTCACCATCTGGCTTGAAGAAAATCCTCAGCACAGAAACGCCCCATGGTCTGGAGTTAAGGTATCAGAACCTAAGGGAAAGAAAAGGAATTGGAACCTCAGTGGGACCTGCAACACCCACGGTCACAATGAAGAAGGGACAAGATATGGTGCGCATTGCCCACTCTTTCTATGCCATCTATCTATGTATCTATATAACCACTAAAGGAAGGATAAGGCCCC